GCTTATCAAGCCATGCTGTGGTGGCGTCCCATACAAAGTAGAGGAAGATGGGCACGGATGTTAGCCCAGGGCCAGTCTTGCTCAGCAAAAAGAGGAAGATTGGCAACGGATGTTAGCTCAGGGTTAATCTTTCTCACACACACAGAAAGGAGAATAAGAAACTTTAGTAAATAATGAAAGACACTATGAATAAGAACAGCTCCAAAGCCAAAATAAGATGAATAATCCCATTGAATGGAAATATGGTTTTCTAGGTTCAAGGTAACTGATCAAACTTAGGTTCTAAAAGCATTTCTTTCCCTGCTTCTTTGGCATTTCTGATCCAAGCCAGCAAGAATTCTTTCTCATTTATTTTACTCATTCCTTTAAATTTTGTTGTGAGAACTTTCTCTTCCAAGTTGGGCCATCTTGCAGGTTTTTCAGTTGTCTATATGTGTAGATAACTAAAAACCAACAAAAATTGTAGTAATTCTGTGCATGTCTGTCTATTCCCCACCTACCCCATCCCACCTCCACTTCCTACCACACATCCCAGCGACATTGCCCTAGTACTTCCCTAAACTACCAAAAAAAACCCAAAACAGACTGGTTTGAGGTGTTTGTTTTTTTTTTTTAAAGATTTTATTTATTTATTTATTTTTCCCCCAAAGCCCCAGTAGATAGTTGTATGTCATAGCTGCACATCCTTCTAGTTGCTGTATGTGGGACGCGGCCTCAGTGTGGCCGGAGAAGTGGTGCATCGTTGCGTGCCCAGGATCCGAACCCGGGCCGCCAGCAGCGGAGCGCGCGCATTTAACCGCTAAGCCAGGGGGCCGGCCCTGGTTTGAGTTTTAACTGCTTTTATTTTTCCTTTCAGTCTTCTTAAAATGTGTGGCAAATGCTCCCAAACACAAGCAGCTGAAAGAATAAACGGGAGGTATTCTTCCTGTCCAGGTTATTCAGTCTCTGAAGCGTTGATTAGAAGGAACTGAACTTTCAAAATGAGTTCCAGATTTGGTATATTTTAATAATTTGAGGTTTCTCCCATATCCATAACTTAAATTTTCAGAAAATAAGTTATGTTATAGCTGAATGGACAATGAACTAGCCAGAATTTTAACTTACAGGCTACACAGCAATATCGAAGATTGATGTAAAATACTTGTGAAGAGGTACTAGTAGGGAAGATAAGACAGCAGTGTGCTTTCAATGAAACTGTGAGTTTATAGTAATATGTATATTGAAGGGGGATGGTAGGTCAGATCCTGTTAGGTTTGGTGCATTAAAGAATGACTTGCGGGCCAGCCCCAGTGGCCTGGTGAAGTTCGGCATGCTCTGCTTTGGTGGCATGGGTTTGGTTCCTGGGCGTGGACCTACACCACTTGTCTGTCAGTGGCCATGCTGTGGTGGTGGCTTACAAACAAAGAGAGGAAGATTGGCAGCAGATCAGGAGATTCAGGGAAGCAGATCAGAAGATTCAGGGTGAATCTTCCTCAGCAAAAAAAAAAAGAATGAATTAGGATATCCCAGGATCATTCATTGGAGGAGACTGACTTTAATGAAAAAGAAAAAAAAAGTGTCATAGCAGGCAGGGAGAAGCAAATTTTGCTTAAGTGAGCAACACCTTAGAGTTAGGAGTTAGAAAATTCCTTGGAATGACTAAAGGAGACCCCTTGACAGGTTTACAAGTTTGGGGGTTTTGGCTTAGTATGTACTAGGAAATAGAGCAAGCAGGTGGGGGTTTTGTTGTTGAATCTTATTGCAGTCTTGCTGTTGGTCATTGGATCTAGCTGTTGAAGCCAGCTGTTTGGCTGTAACAGGCTGCGGAGGCAGGTGCTTCTCCAGATGTGGCCCTCTCTAGTTGTCAGCCCCTAATCGTATCATTCATTTTTGCACACTCATTTCTCATATAAACACCGAATAGCAATCTCAGCCTGTAGTCATCGCTGAAGATAGTTCTCTTTGATACTATTTCCTTTGTAAAGATTTCCTGTTTTGGTAGATGTAATAAACAAGCTTGTGCCTTCCCCTCCCTGGCTGATTAAAAGGGTAGAAAGGTTACTAATTGTAGATAGAGCATTCGTGGTTCAAAATGAGAAATTTCATATATATTTTAAGCTGCTTATTAGGAAAATTTTATATCAACTGGTTTCACTTCATTGCTTGGCCTATTGCATTATCCATTCAAAACACAAACAAAATGCTCCGTGATTCTCTCTTCTGGACTTTGCTATCCGATCACAGTAGCGTGAGTTCATCAGTTATTACAGAATCCATTAGCATTCCTCCTCCACGCTATGGAGAGGAAGGCCAGTCATGGAAAAGGACCTGATAAAAACCAATAAAAAAAAATTAAGGGTTCTCTTTCTACATAATTCCTGAAGACAACTGCTTTACTGAATCTCATTTGTTGGGATTTTTAGCAACCTGTCCCCCTTCTCCGAAGAAAAATCTTCACAGGGTTCAGTGCATGGAGACTTTAACTTGTAAATTAAAATTATTGGCTTTCAAAAGTTGTAGGTTAGTTGGTAGAGCTTTAAATGCAGTTTCACTCAGTCATTATTTATTAAGTACTTACTGAGTTTAAACACTATGTTAGGTAATGTGAGAGAGTCGGAGATGAATAAGGTATTTTTAAGGAATGAGAGAGAGAGTAGATCTCTACTAGAGAGATAGGGTGCTTTTAAGGAGCTAGAATAGGATATATATAACCAAAATAAAGGAGAAATACTAAGCAGTAGGGGAGTACAGAGAAGGGAGAGGACATTTCTGATAGGAGATCCAGGAAGACTTGACAGAAGAGGCATTTATTTTCCATTGATGAATGAGAGTATTCGATTTCTCATAGAAGTAGCTATAATGATTCTAATGATGGGCCCTGACCTCTAAGCCCCTTGTGATCATTAAGTTAATTTTAGAACCTTAGAAGGGATGGCTAAGAGAGGCTCTAGTAGCTGGCCAGCTGCCACTGTCAGTATGAGAAGGCTCCAGTAGCCAGGAGGTGACGAGAGGATTGGCCCAGTGATTTTACTGCAGTTTAATTTAGTGACCCTTTCTTGAGTCCCTGCTATGTATGAAAACACTGTGTGGAGACTAGGATAAATAAAATGATACCCCTCCCATTTACTAACTAGTGGAGGGTATAGATGCATAATACAACTAAGTGTAACAGAAGACAGAGTTGTAATTGGGCTGTAGAGGTATAAACAAAGGCTGTGGAAGCACAGAGGAGGAAGCCATTGGCATGGTATTTTGTGGTGGAAATTAGTTAAGGCTTCATACAGGAAGTAATATTTGACTGGGCCTTGAAAATGAGTGATATTTCAAATGTGGAAAGGAAAGGAAAGGAAAAGGCTTGGCACAGAGAGGAAATAGCGTTAAGAAAGGCACATAAACACAGGATTTGAATAGTCTAGTAATGCTAGAGTGGCTGGGGATAAGTTGGAAAGGTAGGGTGGAGCTGGGTAGTGAGTGAGGGACCTGAAATGACAATGCTAAGAGATTTAGACTATTTTGTAAGCAGGAGGGCGCCACCAAATGTTTTTGAGCGAGGGGGTAACACGATATGATTTGTGTACCATTCACTGTGCTGTGAATGGGTGACTTAGAGGAAAATGAAATAGGTATAGGTAGTAAGCAGTAGCATCAGTGTAGGTCAGAGATGATGAGTATGAACTGAGATACTAGGAATGGAAATAGAAAGGAGGAGATAGATTCAAGACACACTTGTGGGGTAGAAGCAATAGAAGTTTTATTACCAGTTTGAAATGGGAAATGAGAAGGAAAGAAGAAAGGTTACTCCTGTGCTCCCAGTTAACTGGGATGGTAATGCCATTCATTAATGAACATGGGACCATCACTAGAAGAGCAGATTTGATTTTGGAAAAGGGTGAGCTGGAGGTGTTTCTTTCCAGGTAACTATTGGGAGTTCATGTCAGGAACTTAAGGTCTGGTACCAGGGCCAGAGATATAAAATTTTGGGAATTATCACCAAACAAATTATAGTGATAGCTGTGGGACCAGAGGAGTTAGCTCTGAGAAAATATAAAGCAAGGGGAGACAGTCAAAATCAGCACATGCCCTAATAGAAAACACCTTCTGTAGAAGGTAGAAAGAAGAAAAGCAAGTAGCAAAAGGAAATGGTTGGCAACAAGAGTAAAACTAGGAAAGGGAAGAAAGAGTTTGAGAGAGTAGGGAGGTGCTCAGCAATTCAGATGCTGTGACCGCAGGGGACGTGGTAGGCCTGGGGCAGGACGGGGTTCTAGCCTGTCATACATATGAATTGTTCATATAAATATTTATGTACATGAAAGTATTTATAAGTCAGCCACTCTCTATCCTTTGGCCTGCCATCCTTGCTCATTTTCTTCATATTCCTCCCAAACCTCACCCCTCATATCTCCCATCTACTCTCTCTTAAAACAGTGAGAGGAGGAGAAAAGAAGGGGGAAGTTGAAGCACAACGAGGGTTGAAGTTAAAATGTAAACATTCTTGGGTCAGTTTATAAATAAGTTGCTTATTCTTTATTTTGGATAAGCCACATTAATGATGATAATGTCACTTTAATTTTTTAAGTCAGTATGTCTCTAGTGGTCATAAATATGTTTGTCATAAGTAAAAATAATTTGAAAATTCTTGGTTCAGTTGAGTAGGCTTGCGTGTATTTACTGATTCTGATGTGGTCTTAACATCAATCAGTATCCAATTTCATTTTTGTTCTTAAATGAACAAACACCACTTGCCTCACTCAGTCTAGGCTTATGAAGGGAACAGTGCTGGTTTTGCTGACATAAACCAATCGTGTTTTCTTTCAGTTAATCAGATATTTTTTGCATTCCACCTCAATCATATCTCTATTTCACTATTATTTTACGTTTAAGTGGCTGGTTATATAATTTCTAAATGTTCTCTTTTCACATTTGCTATTCAAACTTAATGATCCAGAACCTTTATACTAGTGACCAGAAACTAGTATTTGCTGGGTGAAGATAACATGAGTTATGTCCATTTGCCTTTCTAGATTTTGGCTTCAGTAACCTCTTCACTCCTGGGCAGCTGCTGAAGACCTGGTGTGGCAGTCCTCCCTATGCTGCACCAGAGCTCTTTGAAGGAAAAGAATATGATGGGCCCAAAGTGGACATCTGGGTGCGTAACTCCCTTCTCTTCTACCCCATAGCGTTAGTTACCCTTGATTGATGACAACTGTCCTCATCCTGGATGACACATAACGCTGCATGTGAATTGAGGTCTTGATTACCTGTTCTTTGAATTCCTGATTCTTTGTGCAAAGTCTTTCCTCCAGCACTTGTCTTATAAACTGAGCCACAGATTTCCAACTCTCCCTTTTCATCTGCAAAAAACCCCAAGGGCAAGCTTGGATGGGTGCCCTTGCCATGAACAGAGATTCTTTCTGTTGTTGCCACTTGCCATCTCCCTAGAGGATGAGTACTGAGAGAACTTCTAGATATGTTACCCAAAATTAATGTCTGGAAGCAAAGAAGAATGTTAACTATTCTAAAGATGGTTGGCCTTGACAATGCCCCATATTATTTCTCATTAAAAAAGAATAAGAAGTTTGTTCCATTATCTTGTGCATGACTCACCATCATCTTCATACACATGCTATAATGGCCTCTTTTGTTTCCTCTGATGTGGTTAATTGTCCGTACTCTCTGTTTGGGATGCAGAGCCTTGGAGTCGTCCTCTATGTGCTTGTGTGCGGCGCCCTGCCATTTGATGGAAGCACACTGCAGAATCTGCGGGCCCGGGTGTTGAGTGGAAAGTTCCGCATCCCATTTTTTATGTCCACAGGTAAGGGAGTTGCTAGCACACAGCTGTGATTGGGTTCATGGAAAGTGAGACATGCTAAGTTATTCCAGTAATTGAGTGATGGAGTATAAATGGCCCATTTAACAACCTTTCTTAGCTCCAGTTTGCTGAATTGGCACCTCTGGAGGCAAGGTTCTATAGGAACAGAGTGCAGGCTCTGGCTTCAGATAGCCCTGCCTGAGTTTGCTTGAGTTTGGCTCTGGGCTCTGCACATAGCTACTAGTGTTGTGTGGCAGATTACTAAGTCTGTCTGAGCTTTAATTTCCTCCTCTATAAATGGCTGACAGTTTTGTGAAGGCTATTACTATGAAACTAAATTAAATAATGTATGTAAAGAATCAGGCCCGTCACCTAGTAGCAAGGCAATAAATATTCCTGTTTCACCCCTGTCCTTCACCTCCTCTCCCACTCTTTTTCAGGAAAATATTTCCATTTACTGGGGCCCCACTGAGATGTGGCAATAAATGCCAAGGATAAAGCAAGCTTTGCGTCTTAGTCTTGCTGCTACTACATTTCCTACTTCTATGACATCCCCCCAACTCAAATAAAAAAGTACTTTTTACGTGAATAGGCTGTAGGGTAAGTAGCTCTTGGAAAAATTTAGCGCTGACAACAAACACCAGATACCCAGAATCTGCAGTGTTTTAATCATCATTTATGTGCACATGAGAAAAGAACATTTTAGAGACAGTGCAGTAAGCAGTCTATTTAGTTTTGCCTAATCATATTTTCATTTTAAGGAAGAACATTCAGAGTAAATGTCCACTGGGGGGGCCACAAAGTGTGCTACATTTTAGAATAAATAGGTGAAACTTGTACTATATTTAACTTTTAGTCTCCTTAGAATTAATGACTTAAATGTAGGTCAGATAATAAGAAAAATAAAAATAGAGAAAAATAAAATAGAGAAGGAAGTTTGAGGATGGTGGGTAGGAAGTTATTAAGTGTGGTCAGGGAACCCCGTCACTACGAAAGTGACATTTCAGCAAAGACTTAAAGAAGGTGAGGGAGTAAGCTGTGCAGTCTGAGGAAGAGCTTTCCAGGCAAAGGAACAACAGGTGCAAAGGCCCCACGGAGGGAGCATGCTTGAGTGTGAGGATGGAGGCCTGTGTGCTTGAAAGGAATGAGTGACAGGACAAGAGAGATGAGGTCAGAGAGACAAGAGCTTACTTTTAGGGTCCAGTTAGTCAGTGTAAAGACCTTAGTTTTAGTTTTTACTCTGAGTGAAATGCAAAGGATCAGAGGGTTTTGACAAAGGGGTGACATAATCTGACTTGTTTTTTTCTAAATTTTTTAATGAAAAATTTCAAAGAAAATCAAAAGAATTTTACACTGACTTTTGTTTTAAAAAAGTCACTTTGGCTACTCTGTTGGTTGAAAGGTTCAAGGGCTGAAGGAGGGAGACCAGTTAGTAGGAGACTTTTGCAATAATCCAAATGAGAGATATTGGTGGCTAGTTCCCAGACTGGGGTGTAGAGGTGGAGATGGGAAGAAGTGGTCAGATTCAAGAGATACCACATACTGTGTGGCAGGCACTGTTCAAAGCATTTTACAAACGTTTATTATAACAACCCTATGAGAGACATAAGACTGTCACCTCATTTTACAAGTGATAAAACTGAAGCCAGGAGACGTTTAGCAATTTTCTCAAGATAACACAGCTACTAAGTGGCTAAACTAGAATTTGAACCTAGGCAGTCTGGCTCCAACAACATTTATGTTGCATTTGATGTGAGACAAAGAGAGTAATTAAAGGTAACTCCAGGGTTTGTGGCTTGAGCAACTGGAAGGATGGATTTACTGCTAACTGAGATGGGGATGGCTAGGGAAGAATACTTATATTTTGGAGAGATGTTTTGGATCTGTTAGTCTGAGATGCCTCTTCGACATCTAAGTTGAGATATTGTGTAGTTGAACGTAGGAGACTGTAACTTAGTTGAGAGTTGTGGGCTGAGGATGTACATTTGGGAATTGTCATTGTACAGATAATATTTAAAGCTATGAGATGAGATCACTTTTTAGGCAGTGATTATAGAGAAGAGAAGAGGTCCAAGGATTAACCTCTGGAGCACACTAATATTCAGAGATCAGGAAAATGAAGAGGAATCAGCATAGGAATGGCTAGTGAGGTAAGCCAGAGAGTCTGCTGTCCTAGAAAACAAGTGAAGAAAATGTTTCAAGGAGGAGGGAGTGAGCAACTGTGTGGAGTGCTGCTGATAGGTCAGATCGGGTAACTAAGAACTGAATATTGGATTTAGAACTGTGGAGGTCATTGATGATCTTGAAGTACAGTTTTGGTGGGGAGAGAGGAGCAAAAACCTAATTCATGTGGATACGACAGAAAAGGAATGGAAGGGAAATGGAGAAAGGAAATAGACACAACTTTTTCCAGTTTTACTATAAAAGAAAGCAGAGAAGGGATCCAGTGGATTGCTCTGGCTGGAGTAACCAGTGAGCTTGTCGTAATCAACTGGATGTCCTCAGTCTTTATCTTAATAACCAGCAATATTTAGCACTTGACCACTCCTTGCTTTCTTTTTTTAAAACAGACTTTATTTTTTAGAGCAGTTTTAGGTTCACAGCAGAATTGAGTGGAAAATATAGAGAGTTCCCATAGAGCCCCTATCCCCACACACATAGCCACTATCAATATCCTGCACCAAAGTAGAACACCTGTTACAATCGATCAACCTACATTGAGACATCATTATCACACAAAGTCCATAGTTTACATTAGGGCTCACTCTTGGTGGTGTACATTCTATGGGTTTGGACGAATATATACTGACATATATCCACCATTATAGTGTCATCATACAGAACAGTTTCACTGCCCTAAAAATCCTCTGTACTTATGCATCCCCCTCTCCCCCCTAACCTCTGGCAACCACTGGTCATTTTACTGTCTCCATAGTTTTGCCTTTTCCAGAATGTCATATACTTGGAATCCTACTGTATGTAGCCTTTTCAGATTGGCTTCTTTCACTTGGTAATATGCATATAGGGTTCCTCTATGTCTTTTCATGGCTTGATAACTCATTTCTTTTTAATGCTGAATAATATTCCATTGTCTGGATGTACCATAGTTTATTTAATCCATTATCCATAACCCGTTGATGGACATCTTGGTTGCCTCCACATTTTGACAATTATAAATAAAGATGCTATAAACATTTATGTGCAAGTTTTTGTGCAGACATAGGTTTTCAACTCGTTTGAGTAAATACTAAGGCGTATGATTGCTAGATTGTATGGTAAGAGTATGTTTCATTTTGTAAGAAACCACCAAACTGTCTTTCAAAGTGGCTGTACCAGTTTGCATTCCCACCAGCAGTGAATGAGAGTTCCCGTTGCTCCGCATCCTCACCAGCATTTGGTGTTGTCAGTGCTTTGGATTTTTGTCATTCTAATAGGTGTGTAGTGGTATCTCATTGTTTTAATTTGCAATTCCCTAATGGAAAAGATGTGATGAGCATCTTTTCATATGCGTATTTACCATTTGTATATCTGATTTGGTGATGTGTTCTCTCCAAGTGTTTTGCCCATTTTTTAACTGGGTTGTTTGTTTTCTTATCGTTGAGTCACTTCTTACCTTTTGAAATACTTTTTTCTCTTTGTGTCTCAGATACCACATTTCTCCAGTTTTCCTCCTGTGTCTCTAGGTGCACCTTCTCACTCTTTGCTAGATTTTTCTCTCTCTGTTCATCCTTTAAATCTTTTCTTCTTTACACCGTGTTTCTGAACCATCTTATTTACTGCCGTGGGTTCGGTGATTGCTCTGATGTTCAGTCCTCACTTAACTCTCAATTAACTCTCTGGCCCAGACCTCTCCTCAAGGATGAAGAGTCATATATCCAATCCGTTTCTACTGATCAGTTTCACTTTCAAGTCTTAAATTTACATCAATGGAAACATTTTCAAAACTGAATTTAACTCCCCCCTCCCTAGATTTGCTCTATTCTGTGTTCCCTATCTTAGTGAATGGCATCAGCTTCTGACTAAGACAGAAACTAGCCTTGATTCCTCCTTCTCTCATACCATCGGCACAGCCAGTCAATTATCAAATCCTGTAGACGCAAGGCTCCATTCCTATAGCCACTTCGGTAGTGGCTCTTGCGTAGATTAAGTAATAACCAACTCAGTGGATTCCTGGCTCCAGTCTAATGCCTCTCTAATCCCTTCTCCACACTGCTGCCTGAGTAATCTTTCCAAAACACAAATATAAAACAAAATACACGCATACACGCGCGCACACATAGATCTGATATCATTTTTCAGCTTAAAACTTTTCAATGGTTTATCATTGCCTGTAGACTAAAGTTCATTCTTTTTTTTTTTTTTTTTTTTTGTGAGGAAGACCAGCCCTGAGCTAACATCTATTGCCAGTCCTCCTCCTTTTTCTCCCCAAAGGCCCAGTAGATAGTTGCATGTCATAGTTGCACATCCTTCTAGTTGCTGTATGTGGGATGCAGCCTCAGCATGGCCGGAGAAGCGGTGCGTCGGTGCGTGCCGGGATCTGAACCCGGGCCGCCAGTAGCAGAGCGCGCACACTTAACCGCTAAGCCACGGGGCTGACCCCTAAAGTTCACTCTTAATGTGGCTAGCACATTGACTTTCAGACATTTTTGACCATGACCATAGTAAAAAATACATTTTATCCTGTGACCTAAAACATACATATATATACAACTGAACAATGTTTTAATAAGAAAGCAAAACTTGCCTTTACTATGTGCATTACGCTCCAATATATTTTATTCTATTACATTAAAAAATATTGATTATAGTTTACTAAATTGATCTCCTGACTGCTGTTTGGAAAACAATGGCAGAGAAATACCTTTATGACCTGGCTCCTGCCTATCTCTTCAGCCCCAATTCCCATTCTACAACTAGTCACCCTGATTTTCTTCTAGTTCCCTGAACACGAGATATTCTCTGGAGCAATTCCCTCTGCCTAGAATACTTCTTCCTCCTCCACC